TGCTTCATGCATAAGAAATTGGAATTCTCCTGCCTGGAATTCTCAGCTCAGCTGCCTTCTGCTTTGTCAGAAGATAGACAAATCAATTTGAGTTAGTCTTTTTAAGGAAAATGTGATCTACAATTCATGAAGCAAAGAGACACAGCCACAAACAAGAGTAGTTTACTCTAATTAAAGTGCAAGTTTCATTGGCTAGTGCTCAAAGCCATTGTGTTTCCCTATAGACAGAGCTGCCAAATAAATACAGGACACTCAGATAAATTTAAATTTCAAATAAAAATAACAGTCATTTTTAAGTATAAGTCTGTGCCATGAAATATAGTTTTAAAAATGACTTGTTTATCTGAAATTCAAATTTAACTGGTGTCTTAAACATCTACTTGCTAAATCTGGCAACCCAACTTATAATTTGTTAAGACTGAAGAAATGTTCAACACAAAATAAGGAAAATAGAAAATAACTTGTATTTCAAATTATGAAAAAGAAAAAAAAAAAAAAAACAGCTCTTCCACCAGGTGGTCAAACTTTATCAAAGCCAAATATTGAAAGGTTGACTGGCAACAATGCCTTGCGTTCCTAGGAAGGTCTGCTGGAGACGCAAGCATGATCCAAGTTCAATATCTTTTTCTTCCACTTGATTTTGGAGGATGTTTCTGTAGAGACCTTGGAACATCTTTACCCTTGCTCTTTAAAGCATGTTATGTGGACCAGCAGTGAGCTGGAGCTTGTTAGAAATGCAGACTCCCAGATACCCCTGATTCCTACCACGTTAGAATGTGCAGTTTAACAAGATCCCTTGTGATTCATATGCACAGTCAACTTTGAGAAACGCAGATTTAGTTCTACAGTTTCCAAAAATATGCTTTAAGAAAGTATAGGCTTCATAGACTCTCTCAGGGGTGAGGGAGAACATGTAAGCAGAGATGGGCCATCACAATTAAAGGAGACCCACCCTGTGTGCTCGTTTGGGCTTCCAGGTGAGATTTTATTACAAAAAAAAGGGTCTGTGGCTTAAAAATGAAAATAAATAAGGTTTGAAAAACAACAATCTAGTTCATTTCATTTTCCAGATGAGGAAACTAAGTAACAAAGAGGACATGTGACATCGCCCACGTCCTGTGCTGGGAAGTGATCTCTCTTTCCACTTCCTCTCTGTTCATTGAGCAAAGCAGCACAAAGAACCAGAACTTTCAAATCAACTGCTTGGCAAGTGCCATCATGTAGCACAGATGTCTTTATCTGGGCCTTGAATTTCAAAATCAGCCCTCCCCCCGTTTTTTTCTCCATATTCATGCCCAGAATGTCCTTCAAAGGCTCATCCAACCCAACAAAAAGCACCGCCTGTCCTGCTCCCTGAACTGGAAGGGAGGTCCCCAGCTGCAGTTTTGTGTGCACTGCTTACGGAGGGTACCCTACAGGTTTGTTTGTGGACATTTCAGCTAATTATCTTGCCACAGACCATTGAGACAGATCTGGATGACTGTTCAATTAATAGTACTGCAGGAGTAATTAGGGAGAATTCCTGCCTGCACAGCCTGCCCCGTGCCGTCGTATCACTGTGAACGTTCTCTCCTGAATGTGATTAATCACATAAATAATTCTGAGAAATGAAATTAGAGCTCACCCACGCATTGCACCCAGTCATGTTTCAAGGCATTACATCCTGAGTCTCTGTAGTGAATTAACATTACGGTCTGGTTTGAATTCTTCAATTTGCAGCCTACATCCTGCTCCCTTAGCAAGTGACCCTGGGGTCCCTAACAGTTTCTGTAACAATTTGAATTAGCCATTCTAAAAAGAACACAGATCCTGGAATGTTTAGGCCTCAAGAAAGAAGTACAATATATCCCGTCTCCAACATGCTTGCACTAGATGTGATGCCCAGGTTTCTAGACCCTTCCGTCCAAAGTGTTCCCAGTCCACTGGGCACATGCCTCATATTACAGCATTGACATTAAGGATTTTTCTATGAATAGTAAATGTTCATTCATTCCGCTAAAATCTTAGAATTGCCCCATTATTTTCATCTATAAGGAAATCTCTGAACAACTGCAGAGTGACAATAGGAAAACAATTTCAGCTGGGACCAATTTATATTAGAATTCCTAATTCAAATTTAGGAATTCTAAAAGTTAATGGAGGGCGGTAGGAGGCACAATGATCAGAAGAATCTCAACACGGAGGGATTTTTTTTTTTTAATTATGATCTTCTCCCCAGCTTTAAAGTCACTTATCTCAGACACAAAAATATAAAAATCTTAGAATTTTAGAGGACAAGTTAGCTATCATTTTACAGATGAGAAGACAAAAGCCTAGAGAAATCAAGTGATTTTATTCACAATCACATAATTGTTTGGGGATATGCCTGTTTCATTGTGAAAGTATTCTAGAGATAAAGCAGAATTTTGGCGAGGTCATTACTCTTTTTTCGGCATTATTATGGCTAAAATTGAGAAGTCAAGGAATTGTAAAAGAATATAAAATAAGACCCAAAATTTAAAACCTTAGTTGCATGACATTTGTTAGCTTTCATCATTAATTTTATTGATAAGATATTATTATGGAAAATTCCCTTTCTTTTAATCTAGTAAAAACTATTAGAGGAAGTATAAATTTTCAGTTGTGCCTGGATAAAATAGCAGTCTTGAATAATTTTGTGGCTGGATTACACCGACTCTGTTTTGTTCAGCTTTAGTAATGAAATGTTTGAGTGATGTACACTGATAGTTTAACCAAATTATGTGTGAGTAGTGGGATCACTAGTGATTTTAAATCTTGTTGGGGTATTTCTGTTGTTTTTTCCCCCTACATTGAGTAATGAAAAAATTTCAAAAATTATCCTTAAAGATATATAATTAATTTGGATAATAAGGTTTTATTTCCTTTAAAAAAGGAAGCTTTGCTGCCAACATTTTGTGCTTTCTACTTCAAGGATCTCTGTGATAAATTCATGTACATGATAAACATTGTCAAAAATCCTGCAATCTTTTCACCTAAGACAGAATCATTAGTTCAGTAATTATGATTTAGCAACAGAATACTTAAGGGGTTGGTGATATTATATTTGGAGGACTAAAATGAAAGTATAATCATGTTCCCAAATGTTGGGTGAGTTATGAAGAAACCATTGAATTTTAAAAGCAATTTCCAGTTTGTTCTTTTTGCTTAAGGTTGCTTTGACTATACGAGGTCTTCTCTGGTTCCATACAAAATATCCACAGCAGGAAATATTAGCTTTGGAAGTAGATAAGTTTTATTTTACATCTTGGCTCTGCCATTTGCTATTCACAGGTTTGAGAAAAATGGAAATGATTGAATTGTGGATATTCGATGAGATCATGTATGTGAACCACCTAGTACAAAGCGTGAAATACAGTTAAGAGCTTAATAAAATGTAACTTTCACAAGCATCCTCATCAATATGCTTGTCATCTGCACGTCTCTTTAATGAAAAGTCACGTATAACACAAGGTCTTTATGTGCTATAAATTAGTGCTTGCAAATTGGTGCTAGGTCATAGGGCTGCACCAGTTGCCAGCTGGACCCATGAACCAGGTGGGCCTTGGAAAGGTGAAGATTTAGGGAAAAATCTCAATGGTTCTGCTTGACTAGGGCAGTTGTGGCTTTGGAGAAGCCCAGTTGTGAAGTCACTGAAACCAGAGCAGGGGCTACAAATAGCGGACACTGCAACATGTGGCCTTTTCCCCTCCAAACGGCGGTAATCTTGAGATACAATATCCCCTTCCCCACAGGTACTTGGTACATTTCCATTGATAATGCTCTAAGTCCCACCACAAACACATTGATTTGCTTTGTGGCCCTCCTCAGTTTTAACTTCTTTTGGAAAATAAGAATATTCGGTTTCACTTAATGGGACTTTATCAGCAAATAAATTTAAGGCATTCTGACCACATAATGGTTATAGAGACAGCACATCATATTATTAGTAGGCACAATGTAATTACCTGATTGGTATTTTTCCAGAAGGTAGAGCTAATACTCATTCCTACCCGATGTGAAAAAGTTCTTTCACAGCCATTAATCATTGACACTGGCATGTAATTGGCAAATCTCGAAAGATACAAAATGTCAGTATATATACACTGATATTTAACCTTTTCTAGCATTAAAAATTCTTTAGATAAAAATAAACTTCCTTCAATATTTATTGTCTTATTTACCCCAAAATTTCAGGCACTTTGATAAATGGCATAATAGTTTTTGGAGTCACAGCAGCTATGAAATGCATTTTACTGTCTTCTGCTGCTGTAACTTAATAATTCATTTCAGCATATCTATTTGTAAATCACAGAAGGTTTGTTTGATGGACGAAGTACTGGGAGGAAATGCTCTTTTTTTTTTGGTCAATAACAAATACCCTGTATTTTAGAACTAGCGTCCGCTGTGTGCAATATTTATTTCACAGGCTTGACATTGTCCATACCCTGTAATGATGGATTCTACTTTCAGAGTATGACATCTTTAATTTTCAAGCAAAAAAAAAAAATATGAGAATGCTTAGCTTAATAAATTATTTATTTAAGACATTCAGTGATAATTTCTTGAGCTTGTTTGCTGGGAAGTCTAGCACCTAATTAGATGCACACTTCTAGGAACTGTGCAGAATTTCATAGCCTTAGTTTTTGAATGAATTAATAAACAAAATGAAGTGACATCAATATTGACTTCTAGAGGAAAGAGTTTCAATGGCTAAATATTTAAAACATTTGTTTTTTAATTCAGGTCTTTTTTGCCTAGTTCTATTTGCACATTTTTCAGACTTAAATCTGCATAAGGCATTAAACCTTGCCTTCGAGAAGCTCTTAATCCTCTGGGGACATGTGTGGCAAATGGACTATCACCTACCAGACATAGATAGTGTCATAGTAAAGATGCAAACACAGGGGTAGACTTATGAGGGGTACACTTAATTCCAATTGTGGCCATAATAAGAAAAAAATTTAATGTGTTACTTTATTTATTTGCATTTTCTGTTTTAGAGACGCCCAAGCAGATGGCCTGCAATGAAGTTTCGAAGAGGTTCTGGACATCCTGCCTATGCTGAAGTTGAACCAGTTGGAGAGAAAGAAGGTTTTATTGTATCAGAGCAGTGCTAAAATTTCTAGGACAGAACAGCACCAGTACTGGTTTACAGGTGTTAAAACTAAAATTTTGCCTATACCTTTAAGACAAACAAACAAACACATACACACAAAGGAGCCCTAAGCTGCTATAGCCTGAAGGAGACAAGATTTCTGGACAAGCCCAGCCCAAGAAGGGTAAAAGAAAAACTTAAAACTTATGCTAGATACCATTTACACTGAACATAGAATTCCCTAGTGGAATGATATCTATAGTTCACTTGGAACATCTGTGGACTTATTTGAAGTATGACAAGATTATAATGCTTTTGGCTTAGGTGCAGGGTTGCAAAGGGATTGAGAAAAAATAATAATAAAGCTTTAGTTCATGAGGGATCTATACCTTTTGGTTCAAATGTTCTTCTCTGATGTCTCAAAGGTAACTGTGTTCCAAAGCCTGAACTCTTTCACTCAAAAGAGCAATGATGAATGTTTCAAGACGGCTGAGAAAAACCACTCATGCAGGAGCAAAAACAAACACAAAATAAGAGATTTTTCTATCTTTTCCAAACAGATGTGTGGCAAAAGGACTCTGTTTTTCTGGTCTAGATCCATCTGTATCAACAAGTTGCATTACTTTACAAGATGAATCTTTTATCTATACAGGAGGTTCAAACTATGTCTGCCTCTTCCTTGATAACAAATGCCCTTTCTTTAAGCATTTGGAAATTTCTGGAATTTCCAAACTTTTAACTAATGATTAGGGAAGAGGGAGTGGCCAATGAGGCTTTCTGTTCTCCTGCCTCAGAATACAACATCTGATTTATTGAAAGAAGCATTGCCTCCACTTCCCAACTGTGAAGTCCCATGAAGCCACACTTGTTCTTGGCTGATGGAAACAAACGGAATCAGTATGAAGAGTTCCTTAATCATTTTTGAAACAAAAATGTTAAGGGATTTTTAACATTTTTTTTTATTATTTTGTGCTATTTCAGTACTAAAGACCCACTTCATTGTCAATTCCTGTCTAAGAAGCCATTCAAGTCAGCATGGCGATAAAAAAGAAATGAAAGAACCCTGCTGAACCATACAGTAATTTTCTTTAAAGCACATAGTAGTTACATAAATATATATATAAATATATTTTTGTTTATAACTAACACAAGGCAGGCTCTTGTGATTCTAAGAGTGCATTTTTGTCATCACGACAAAACAAATGCAAGATGCATCACTGCATTACTTCCATAGAGTTGTAAAATAATCCTTAATATTAGAATATTTTTATGTCACTTAGCAAGAGTGGTTCAATTAATCACAGTGCCCATCATTTTCCTGCCTATTTGATCCACTTTTTCATTCATGTCAACACCTTCCTTCCCTGGCTCAATAAAGCAGATGCAAAAAGCTCCTCGGATAGAGCCCTCAATTGCTCTGTAATCACAATCCAGATTTTGAAAATTCCCCATGAATGAAGAAAGAAAAGGCATCACTTGAGGAGGAAAATGGTTAATATATATATTGAGCTCCTAAAGTTTAAATTCAGGTACTGCGTGTACAATGTCATCAACACCCTGACCCATGAAACTTTTGCATTCCGTGCCAAGAAACTGTTGGTTCTTGTAAGGTACAGCATTCAACATTTGCAGATTCAGGTCTCAAGAAACAGAGATGTCTTATAAGCAGCACTTTACTAACAGCTTAGCATCTGTGCACAATGTCTGACGACCTCATTCCACTAGTAGAGTATCACACTTTATCATCATGATTATCTGACATGAACAAGTGCCCTTTCTAGCCCATATATTTTGCTTTACAATTTTAAGTATCTGATGAGGGTGATAACTTTTTCCTAACTCGTTTAGTTAATAATTGCAACAACAAAAAAATGAAAAGCAAGGTGACTGAAGGATGTGATGACAATCTCTGTAGTAGCTATGTTCTGCTTATATGAAATATTCCAACTTATTCTTGTGGAGTAGGTTTGGTCAGATAGCAATAACCAAATGACTTGCCAATGTAACTGGTGCAACTGGTATTCTACAAATATGTAAGGAACACATAGACGACTTCCTTTTAGGATAAGATGATGCTTCTTTCACTAGCTTTTGTGGTATGTGGCTTCCAATAGCAATTGATTGGCAGTTATATAAATCTTGCATGTATATCCTTAAACAATTCTTAATATTCTTATACCCTTTGGAGTTCATCTTCTATACCTTCAGAGCTCATCTTCTATTTTAGATTCAAAAGATTTGATAATTCTGTAAAGAAATCATAAAACCCTCTGAATCAGTCAGTGAACCAAAGCACCAAGTAATAGGGAAAATTTTTTGAAAGTAAAGTATGGGAAAACTTCCTAACAGAACTAAGAGTTAAAGGTGAAGAAAAGTTTCTGTGGTATATGAATTCTTTAATGGTAAGGGAAGTGTTGGCTGAATCCCTTTCTTTCATGAAGTTTTCATTCTATTCTGTATTTCTGGTTTGTTCTTGGTGCTCATTTGAGCAAACATACACACAGTTTCTGGAAATTCAGAATGGACACTTATGCTTTGGACTTTACATATATTATATGTTAAAGAGGGTACATGTGTATGTGACTTAACATACTATAAGTATAATAGAGAGAATAACAATAACAATAAAAAATTAAGAATTGCAAAAGGACACAAATTTCTGGAGGTATCAGATAAATGGTGCTATAGAGGAATTTAGTTATTTCATCTTTATTATTTGAAAAAATAATATTAAATGATTAAGTAAAGATATTGAAAGTCAAGAAAAATATCTTAAGCCAGACAGATGGCACTGACCACAATGGCGGTTTGTTTATGAAAGGTTTGGACTTCAAGATATGCCAACAAATAGAAAGATAAAGATAAATGATAAAGTACAATTGACCTCCAATTATTATGGTAGTTTGAGATACGAAGGGCATTTGCTAATATCTTGTATGTAGCTTCTAGAACTGTGCTGTCTAATATTATAGCCACTAGCCAAACGTGGCTTTTGAAATGTAAATTAATTAAAGTTAAATAAAATTAAAACTCAGTTCTTCGGTCACACTGACCACAATGCAAGTGCTCCATAGCCACACCTGTCTCATGGCTACCATAATGGACAACAAGGAACATTTCTATTATTGCAGAAAATTCTAGTGGACATTGCTGTGGAGGTATTTCCTTTGAATTTCTTGTCCTTGAAGAAAAAGGAGGGGAAAGAAAGACAGAAGGTTTGGCAGCACATCTATCTATTGGTCCAGTACCACACAAATTTGCATTCAAAGGAAAATTAGTTTATCAATCCAAAAAGCATTCAAAGACAATCAATTCAATACACTTCTTGAGAAAGTGCCAAAGGAGAATGCATTCAAAACACACAGCAAAATTCCTTAAATTCCTTTTTGCCCATCTTAATATTTCCTCTAATATTTTCCTCACAGGACATCTATTCCAACTATTTCTCCTCTCCTGGGCCAAAGTTGCCAAAGTACTTCATTCAATCAGCTCAGTTCTTTATTACATAGAGTCACTTAGCTTCTCCAGCTTCTTCTGATTTTCCATGTTATTCTTTACAGCAAAGGGAGGCCCAGGAGCTGACCCATAAGCTCCTCTTTAGAAAGTGATACCTCAAACATAAATAATTTCAGATTTATTTTATCCCTATAACACAAGTGTAAGGGGCTGTGGCATTAAAATATAAAAATACATGGAACTTAATTTTAATTGTAAAGGTTTGCAAATGCAGACTATATAAAAGGAATAAAATTCCTTTTAATTATTCTAATACCCGATAATACATATTCTCAGATTAGTATAAGTTGTCAGTTTTTGGCATAAAGAATTCTTACGTTATTTCCTCATGAAGGAGTATAAATTTAGTAATGTCCCTAGGATCTACTGCCCATTTGGGAAAAAGTTTTGCTAGAATACATGCCTTGGTTCAAGACACTTTAATTCTATGATAAGAAATTGATATTTAAATAAAACTGAAAACTGGATCCTGTGATTATGGTTTCTTCCCTTTGGGAAATGTTCTTTTGCTTTGTGTTTCTTCAGGCATTTTACCCATGTTTGATTACAATGTGCTTTAGTAATTCCAAAAGATTGCTCCTGTCTTAATTTTACCAGCCCCACCCACTGTGGCATCAGCATTCATATACCAGAATCACAGATGGCCATCTAGTCTGCATTTTACAGATGAGAAAACTGAGGCCTAAAGAGATATACTGCTCTTCCTAGTGCCAAAACTGGGCCTTGAACTGAAAATGTTTGTTCCAATTCTCATTGCCTATACCCCTTTGTCAGCAATTAAGGTTAACTAAACAGTTTAGAAAGCGCAGTCCATCTCAAAACTAACTGTATTTGCTGTATTGACCATCTATTTGCTGTATTGACTTTGTACTGTAATATGGAACACTGGCTCAGTCTTCCCCAGTCGTGTTGCTGACTTCAGAAAGCTGCTACTATTACAACCACCAGTGATTTCAAGGTGTAGCTATTGAGGGTTCTTCGTTTGGTTTTACACATCTCCTCCCTTGACCTTCCCCCATCTGTGGCCATCTAAGTTAGCAGTCCCATTCATCTTTGCCGTTTAACATTGTGTTGCCTTTGTTTCATTTCTTCCCAAATGTGCTGGAAAACAAATACTCTTTATAGCAGGTTTTCTTACCACATATATGGTCACAATTTTTATTTGCTCTTCAACTATTTGAACATTTTTATTCTAAGGCTTTTTGAGCAAATATTGTGAGGTCTATGGTATTACCAATTGTATTCTGCTATTCCCTGTGTCTGCAAAGCATTTTACATTTTACAGAGCACTTTGATCCATCCCCTTATTTTTTCATCATTGTTCACTCTATTCACTTAAATATTATTGAACACCTACTGGAACCAAGATACTGTGGTATATTGTGAGAAATACAAACAGTGAGAGGCCACGCATGTAAACTGATAATTATAACACGATGAAATCCTCAAACCAAACTTTGCAAAGAGATAAGATCAATATTACTCTATCAATTTCACATTCCAATTTTCTGTTCTGTTTAAGTAAGGAACTATCAAGTATTTTCCTGAAAAATGTTTCTGGAATATAATATATCATTGCACATATCTGTTGTTTGCTCTATTTGAAAGGATCTGTTAATCTCATTTATGAGAAGAAAAGTTATTTAAAGTTGTCCCTGACCCAGGGAGACTTTCCAGCTCACTTGTATTCTTACTGATTAGGTGCAGTAGTTGAAGTTTGACTTTCTAGCGCCAATATTTCTGCTGTGGCTTTTTGAATTATCAACATCACTGCTTTAAGATATTCAGAAGCAACAGTGTTTCATAGGAGCATTTGCACTTTAGGTGTGTGTGGTTTTCATGTCATTTATTAGACTATCTCAGCTTTTCACAACATAGACATTATTGACATTTTAGACATTCTTTGTTTCAGTGGTGTTGAGGGTGGGTGTGCTCACTGTAGGGTATTTGGCAGCTTTTATGGCTTCTGTTGGTGGTAGCATGCACACATGTTCCCTACCTTGTGACAACTAAAGATGTTTCCAGACATTGCCAGCGTACCCTGGGGTGCAGAGGGAGGTGAGGAGAGAGATTGGCCAAAATCACACCTAGTAAAAAACACTATATTATCAAGTGAGCAAAATATATCAAGTCAAAAAAAAAAAAAAAAAAAAGATGTTTCTCTTTCTCTTGTCACTTAATCTTCATCCTAGGTATGTTTTTTATTTATAAGAAGTCTTGAAATCATAAACTCTCCAAATTAGAAGGAGCCACAAAAGTCACACGCGGTTCAACCACAACCCAACATCACCCTTATGTATTTCTCCATTTCTCAGTTTTACAAAGTTATTGAAAGGAGATTGGAAGATTGATTATCTCTGGAAACTGGGAAATTGGCTTTTTCTTGGCTAGCCATAAGGCTGTTTGGTAGTTATGCTCCGCTCCTGTAATAGCTGCTGCAGTGATCTTTGCATTCAGTATGGGGACTTGATACTGAAATCATACATCACTATCTCAGACTTTGCTTTCGGGAGTTTTCTTTTGGGCATGTCACACATGTACACATCTTGTTCTTTAGTCTTTTCCTTAAAATATGCACTGAAGCTGAAGTATGGTGCATCCAGGCATTTTAAGTATACCTAGATAAGCATTCTCTTTCTGCTTTCAATTTCTGAAAATTTTCCTGTTTGTATCATCAGAACATTCTCTTCCATTACCTAGTCAGCTGTGGGTTCATAGCAGTCGTAATGATATCAAGTTTTTATTGTCCTTCACTAGAAAAAAAAAAACCCTTTGTCCTAAATAATAGAAAATTATAAGTTTCAGAGTTGGAATGTTTAAATCCGTGAAGCCAAAGCTTGTACTCATTTTATGTGCCTTATGTCAGTTTTCGTGTAGGGTCAGTAACTTCCTACAGATAACTCTGTATTTGATCAGTTTGTACTGGTGTCTATTTTGCACCAATTGGAAAACTTTGTGAAATTATACGAAGACATCCCCTTAAGAATATTCCCAGAAATAATAACAAATCCCCGACTGGAATATCAGGCATCCCTTATCTCCTTTGCTAAAGACCAACCCAGACTTTGACAGCCTTCATAATTACTTACTACAAATTGCTAAAATGGATACACAATTGGAAACCTTGACTACAAAGTCTACAGCTTTGGAATACTGACGAGCACACCCAGAGAGAGGTCTCATAAGACAATCAGGGAAATCAGAAAACTTTGACCTTGGAGGCCCTCCCATGTGTGTATAATTTTCTATTCTACCACTGCTGTATATCAGACAGCATGGTATTACTTCTTAAGGTTTTGATTCAGTTGATCTTCTAGCTTCAACGTAAACTGTAGCACATCTGCCAACGTATCACCTGGTGTAACTTTTAAGCCATCCAATGGCCACTGCTCTCTCAATGATTATTGTAGAGAAGATGATAATTATTAAAGCAAAATCACATAATTTCAGGAACCAATTTTCTATAACAAGTTTATGGAATATGTCATCATTGGTTTCTCAATAATACATTTATTATGAATGACCAAATTATATCTAGAGGATCAAAATGCTCAAAACTTGTTATTATTCTAAGGTAATTGCCAGCTCACTATTTATGCTAAAAGATTCTATATTACTTTAAATCCAGGATAAAAGGCTAGAAAAAAATTAAATCATAAGCTGGAACTCAACTTTTTCTAATTTCTAAGACTTATTAATATTTGAAAATAACTCAAAGAATTTCTTTTTTAATGAAATAACATTTAAAAATTGACTTGACAGATAATGATCTTATATTCATTTTGATTCTGGTTGAAAAATATCAATGACTTCTCTTCATTCCACTGAAGTTTTGATTTTTAACAGAAGTCTCTCTGTTTTCCTAACATTACAAAAATATATATTCATGGCCAAAGTATCATTTACTGACCATGCAGCTATAAACCTTCTGTGCCTATCCAAAAAATGCATAGCATAAAACTAATTTTAAAGGTTTGCTGTGTGGTCAGAGGTATAAACAGAGGAATAAGTGAGTGGAGATGATTTGTGGAAAAAAAGTAAAGATCTAAGTATACTATCTAGGCAGAGTTTTCAGTTTCTTCAAAGCAGTGTGCAAATAAATATTCAACGGGGTCAGCACAAATTTAGGTCATTCAGGCATTCAGACATAAGAGCACAGATTCTGCAAGGAATGCTAAGGGACAGGTATGTGACATACAGAAAGCCAAGGATGTGCCCGCTGAGTCTTAAATGAAGCCGTCACCCACCTGCACGTCTTCCGTGGCATCAGTCCTAACATCATGCCAGCCCTTGCTCCAGGGAATTGGGTTATTTATGGTCAGGGAATGACCAAAAAGAGACTTTCCATTTATCTCCCTCTGACTTAAAAGGCACAATCATGTTCTTTGTTTCTGTTTTTACCAGAGACCATGAGCCAGCCAACAGCACACAGGTAATAAAATAAAATAAACATAATTTTCCTAAGGAAAGGATAAGGGAGGGGTGGTCCCACAGCTGGATCTCTGGGAAGTTTGACCAGCCCGGTGCCCATACTCAAGTGCTTTTGTCTAGACTTTGTGGAAAAGCCTAAGAAACCATGTTAGAGGTAGTTTGGACAAAAACATACTCAGATTGTCCTATTTATAGCAGGGAAATAAAAATTCGAATTAAGTGTCCTTCAACAGGCTACTTTGAAAATAACATCGAGCAAAATCAGAGCTTCACTTGCAAGGAAATGTTAAAATCATTCTAGGGAAATCAATAAAGTCTCTTTAGACGCAGACATTTTGTGTCTCCCGTAACTCAGTCTCGGGGCCTAGCTGGGAAGAGGGGAAGTCTTTTCATTGGTTGGTCAAAACAAATCTCTCATTTGCCTGATTTGAGGCATTTGGACAGTGCCTGGGAAGTACATTATTTTCAGAGGAAAAAAGGAGACAGCCTTTTTTTACATGCCAGCTGGGATCATGGGAACTTCAAATGCCAGGAATTTACTACTGTTTCTGGTAATTCTGTTTGTAGTCATTTGAAACGTTGAAGTGTGAAAAAAGAAGTTGGGCATTTCGGGGGGAGGGGGCTCTGTCCGTGTTCTATGCCAGTTGCACCAGCGTGCAGAATATTTGTAATGCATTTCAAAGTGGATATAATTGTACCCTTTGTAGGAATCACAAAGCTCACTGTGGTGCTGCTTAAAGAGAACACAGAGGAAAATCTGACCCTGTAAACCCAGTCCCCCCGCCAAACAAAAGGAAAGACTCTGTGGCTAAGCACAGAACACCACCAGTTATTTCTCACTGTTTTCAAAATCCCTATATGCCAACCCAAGGACGTGTCTTTCAGGTGAAGGTTAATTCTGCAGAGGTTTTCCAAAACTTCATTAAAACAGGGCTTGGAAAACTGAGCATTTTGAATTCATTCCAGTTCTCTGGGCATCATTCCTATTTTCTCTGCCATGTCAATGAGACATTCCAAGGCTGCATTCTGTCATGCTAAAATAACATGCACATACTTCCTGATGACCTTCTGTTGGACGTACCTGAGCCTGCAAATGTAAAAACAATTGTATCTGAATTTGCACTAATGATGTCTGTGAGCAAAAGAAGCGTGACCTCTCTTGGAACCTTTTGTTCAAATTCAGTAATTCAGATGCTACATACTTCTGCAAGCTTCCTGATTATTTTCACTGTAAGACTAACTGTCTAAGTTTGAATGTATTTCCTTACAGTCCATTAAGTTGCCATCTATCTTTTACCTGGGGACCATTATGATTGCAATAATTGATTAATGTTGTCTTCACATAGCTTCTTAAACCAAGTTTTTCTGCAATTCTTCTGGTTTTGCTTTCAGTGTGTGGGAAATATTTTTTTCCCTACTAAGAATTTGTTAAGAAATCCATTGTATTGACTGCCACAATGACCACGATTCAACTTCAAAAGTGTGGAAGCTGGTGGTCACCAAATGTTACCTGTGTTCTTGCTGTTGATTGCTTGTTTCAAAATTAAATCATGTTTTTTGGGTTTTTTTTTTCACTTTCAGTTGGGCTCAACAAATTTGGGATTTTAGGAAGGGGAGAAGGGAGCTCTTTGTGTAATACTGCTGTCATATTTGACTACATATTAAAAACAATAAATGAGCATTTTGTTTTAATTTCTTAAATACCTTGTCCTTCAACATACTTCTATTTCCTTTCCTCCATTGATTTTCAAAGCATCTTACCTATTGTGGAGGAAATTCTGTGTGCAAAGTCCAGAGCCACAGGGCTAATGGCGTGACAAAAAATTCTTTTGCTTCTAAACCTGCCGTGATGTGGGGACTGCTACCAAACAGAGTGGGCTGTAGGAGACAGAATGCAGGATGTCACAGAGTGCAACTGGGTAGAGACTTCATCCCCTGTCCCCAACCACAGTGCCCAAGTGTCGAATTCTCCCAGGTCAAGCAGGTGGGATTTTAGCTGTCACTTTAGTTGTCACTTTAAACCCTAGTGCTGGAATAAGTCAAGGTGCTTCAGCTCAGCTCTTGCTTTGGTCACTGGTCTAGCTTTATAAACTCTGATTTTCCAATTGAGTTCCTGAAGCTTCTCTAGTGTTCTATCCCTCTTTTTCCCAAACTGGAAAGGATTGTACCTAATTCTCAGGAACTTTTGGATGTGTGCCTCGGGCGATTTATGTGGAACGTGTGAAGTAAGATGTCTCCAATTCCAAGTATCCCTTCCCTGTTTCCTAATCATCCACTCTTGGACTGTCCTTTTGACAATACCAGGTACAAGAAGTCCCGAACCCACAACCAAGAAGCACATGGTACCAGGAGCTGTCGGGAGTTCCAGTCAGGGGCATTCCCTGAGCAAGCAATTGCTCTGTGCAATTCAATTATGATTCTTTAAAAGAACCTTACCTCTGTATGGATCTTTTAGATTGTATCGATTAAACTTTGATATCATGGAGTAAATTCAGAAGTACGATTTTAAATGGTGTGAATTGTCTTTATAACGCCAAGAAAGAAAAATTATTAATGTGAATCATGTAGCTTTTCCCAAGAATAGGAAAACATCAGGCCAATGCTTTTAAAAATCTTTTTATGGATGCCATCTCTTTAAACAATGCAATGGAAATGAACCTGGATAAGATATTATAAAGAAAAAATGCTAATGACAATCATTCAACTTTTAAATTAGCTTTAGATTTATTTCTTCATAAACCTAGAAACCAGGTCTTCTCTCGGGCTCCCTATTCCAAAGCACTATTTTCAGAACCAGATTCTTCTGACATACAGTTTGGAATTTCCCCCCTGAGTTTATTTTATCAAACATTTATTAAATGATTTTTCTGTGCTATACAGTGTGCTTGACACCAGGGCTACAAAAAAAAAAAAAAAAAAAGGCAAGGTCTTTGCTTTCTGTTAGCCTACAATATAAAAGGGGAGACAAACTTTTGAATAAATATGGTAAACCAAGGATTCTAGGTTCCAGGATAGAAATATCAGTATTTACACAACACAGTGAAATGACAGAGGAGGGAAGAATTAATTCTGTATGGAAAAGGCCAGGAGCTCTTATAAAGCAAGTGGTGTTTGAACTTGGTCTTGACAGGTGAGCAAGTCTACACCACACCACAGCCCGGGCTGAGCAGGGTAGAGGAGGACCTTGTGCAGAGAAGCCAAGAAGGAAAGAAAGGAGAAGAGGGCCTGGGAGCCACCAAGGCCAGGGAGTTGATGACATCCATGACTTTACAATTTACCTTCAAAGCAATAGATGAACTTGAAAGTTTTGAAGCGCCCAAACTCTTTCAGAACAATCACCCTTTAGCCAGAGTAATGGATGAATGGCCTGGGAGAAAGGTAGGAGGCTCTTCTGGAGATGACAGCTCAAATCTAGCTGCTGCACCATGGTGACTCTCCCTTCTTTGTTCTCTAATCTCCTGCCATCAGCACGTATTGGATGCCCCTCTTCCTTCGCAACCAGCCCTTCTGGCAAAGTATATCTTTCCTTTTCCCCAAGGTCATGGGACAACACAATAGGACAGATTTTCACCTGAAATCAGTCAAGCCAGCCCAGGTATGCCCATTGCTTTGTGCAAGAACTCTCTTTTTCATTGCATTGTCGGGAGGGACGGACACGCTTGAAGCTCTGACTCGAGGGGGGAGGGAAGACAATAGCAATGTAGGTAACCTTAACATTTGTACCCCCATATTATGCTGAAATAAAAAAGAAAAAAAAAAAAAGCCCAGGGCAACCCAGACAGCCAACACTGCCTGGGGTGGAGGTTAACTTTCCTGGGGATGACCATAAAAAGGAAAAATCACACATTTTCACCAATTTCCCTCTGGCTATTAGAGACTCAATGATTAATTAAACTACTTGAGATTTGGGTGGAGAGGTTTGAATTTAAACTGTGGTCCCTGAAATAAATGACCTAACCATTTCTTTTTTTTTTTTTTCTTTCTTTCTTTCTTTCTTTCTTTCTTTTCTGATTTAATTGGTCTGATGTAGGTCTGGGCATGATTTTTTCTTTTTCTTTTTTTTTTCCAGCATATTATGGGGGTACAAATGTTAAGGTTATGTATATTGCCCCTGCACCCCTTCCTTCTCGATCGAGTCAGAGCTTCAAGCGTGTCCATCCCCCAGTTGGTGTGCATCACACTCATTATGTATGTATATACCCATCCCCTCCCCACCCCTGCCCGACACCTGATAAATGTTATTCCTATATGTCCACTTAGGTGCTGATTAGTTAATACCAATTTGCTGGTGAGGACATTTCTTTTATATTCTTTTTTTCAAGGTTAGCACTTAACTCATCAGGTTGCCCTCAGAATTAGTGATTTAGTAAATGCTCAGCTGAGAGTATCTAGGGTTATCGCAAAGCTCAGCAAATCTTAATGAAGTAAAAGAATTGGAAAGATCACCTTGAGATGGGGACCAGAGGCCTGGTAAGGCCTCCACCGTGGGGACAGTCAAATGTCCGTGAGGGGCAGAACCAGACTGGAGATCCAGTGGGGGTCTGAATATCAAGATTGACAGACGCTAAAGACAAAGTCTCCAAGATTTCAGGCCGTCCACAGCAAGAGGATTTCAAAGGGTGAATGCAAACTGCCTCTGGATAATTTGAGAGTGTACTGAAGTGTTTCAGAGCTGTCTGAGGAAGCAGATAAGAAGCTGATTTAGTCATCAAGGAAACTATGAAGATGTCGGTCATAAAAGTGGCCTGTTGGCTCCCACAACTGGCTCTGTGTCTAGAGACCACAGCCTTGCAACCCACGTGCGCTGGCGCTAGGAGAGATCGTAGCTTGGGCCTTGGAGATGTAAGGAGCTGATAGAAGAACAGAAACTAACAAGTCTGTTATCCATTAGGCCTCCCATTTACAGGGAGCCAGATTGCATACGCACACGCCACTACCATGGGCTGTAGTGTGAATACAGGGAGGGCAGATGAGAGTGCAGAAATAGAGAAAAAATAGATGTGCGTATGGGAAACTACTGCCTCAGCTGATGCTGATTTCTCGGCTCCAGGCAGTGGGTATGTAAACAAATGTCATCTACACTTCTGCTTCTCCAAGTCTAAATGTAGGGTTATGGTTTTTGGAAATTTCAAAAATGTGCCAAGGAGAGAAAAAAAAAAAAAATCAAGGAGAGTTCCCTAGAGCTTGCAACACCAGAACAAGAAGAAACTCCACTGGCCACCTAGTGATGGGCCTGTTATTTTCTGGGTGTTGAGATCATTTTGAAGACACACAGATGCACTTGGCCTCCCAAAGCAAATACGCTTTAGAAATGCCAGCATCTCTTGATAAATGTAAATTGACCCCTTTTTAACATGCAATACTCTAAAGGCTGCAACGAACTTTACTTAAAGCCTTTGAACTTCTCCCAGATAGTCCCCTGGCATTTTTTTATGGTAAACTTTACAAACATTTTGGGGTTGCAGAATAATGTCGAGCTATTTTTCTCCCTGGAATTTCTTTGTACAACTGCAATTTAGATTTCTCTCCAAAAGGATTCATTGTGATGTGAGTCTTGGTAGAATGTGAAGCAGATTTCTTCTGCTGGAGTTTGGCTGTAAGCCTGGAGGATGGGCTGCATAAATTCTAAATGCCGGAGAACCGTGCATCTTACTTCTTTCTAGAATGTTTGACATCTGCGTCAGGATGCCTGGAAGTGAGAGACTGAACAAGCAAGAGCACATTGCAAAAAGAGAAATAGTGACTTGCAGAAAAAAAGAAAAAGGAAACATCCTTTTTGCAAAATGGTGTGGTGTGGAATTTAATTAGGTGTCATCTCCTTGAGGAAAGGATGTTATTGGAACCAGACTGGATCCCAGCAGGTTAAACAGCAATAAGGCAAATAAGAAAGGAGCAGCCCTATTAGAGAGAAACATGAAAATGGGGGTGTTGATATCACAGGAGACCTCCCAGCTGTGTATAACCCAATAAGCCCTGGCAGAGGGTGTGCTGGGCAGTGGGAAGGGATCTAAGTGGGGTTCCTATTGTTTTGCTTTACAGTTTGATGGACACTTTATAGATGCCCTGGGACAGGAGTTCACTTACTTCAGACAGATCGCTGTGGTCGGTTTGATTTCCTTGACATAAAATCACAACAAGTACCTGACTGGCACTCACTGCTCAGAGACACGAAAACATTCAGCTCCCCCTAAAACCGGAAGGAAGGTCCAGGGGAGGCTGCTCTCTGCCCCTTTCATAAACATCAAACCAGGACCCTCGTATCATAAAGAGCGAGCTGAGAAGCAGCTGCTCTCACGTTGACATGCATCGGTTCCCTGAGATAAATTTCCTCCCTCTGCCAATTACACATCAGGCTGTCTGACACCTACCTGTGTAATAATTAAGGAGATAAGCTCTGTGACATGGCACAACTGACCTCTCAAAACCCAGGTTTCTTTATCTATTAAATGAGGATAAAAATTGCACGTACTTCCTAGCATTATTATGACAAAGAAATGATCTAAAATATTTAACTTAGTGTTCTGCCATAACATGATAACAGTTAGCTATGCTATCATTAGAGTTGCCTCTGAAAGATGCGCTGATTTGGGTAGTAAAAACGCTGTCTTAGTCCTTGGGAAGATAAATTTAAGGCAAAAAGCAGAGAGAAACAATTAACTGGATGAACAGATTGCAAAATAA